TATCAGTGAAAAAAGGACATTATTTTATCGAAACTTTAATTTATTACAAAACTGTATAAATTTAAAAATTTTTAAATTTTAATTACAACAATTCTAAAGAATCCGTCAGAAAATTTTATTAATTAAAATTTAGTATTAATTAATCTTAAAAATTTATTACATTAAGCGCTTTATATATACAAATCGTAATCCAATTATAATTGGTATCTATTCAATTTGCGTCATCTCGATTAAAGCATCTCTTTCGAATACATCGTGCTAGTCAAAAATAAAAATTCCGAAATTATAAAATTTAAGATAATGCACACACACACACACACACACACACACACACACACACACACACACACACACAATTCAAGATTACGGAATAAAATTCTATCAGTTACGAGACTCATCAAATTTAATATGAAAATGATTGTTCGAAATAACTTCGAACGATTCTTACATAATTACATTTGATCTCGATTGAACAGGAAATTGCTATGTGCACGCATTATCGAGTGCCCGCGCCAATCTCACATGAATGAATCTCATTGTAATCAGAAACTGATCGGTCGAGATTGCATTTTCTCGATGTTTTGTGTCAAAAAATTCGGTTTAACGCTCTCGATTCTTCTCATCCATGATTATCAATCGACATCACATTTTCGCGTTTTTCTATCATATTTGCGACGATTTCGGTGATAATACGAATCAAACTCGGATCAGATGACAGATTGAATTATGTCCCCGAGCGTTGACGCCTCTTCCGAATGAAGGATTTTAATTTCCCAATCGATAGCAGTTGTTTCAATAAAGAGTTTGATACATTAATGGAATAATTTTATAATTATTGCGTGTTGCTCTAATAAGAATCGATGTTAATCTGAACCGTCTGTTGTTTCAGAAAAGATTGTTTACACATTGTATTATATTATTGTTACTGGGAATTATTAATATTTCTAAGATAGAAGTGCAAGAACGTGATAATGTAATCGCATAGGCAATTTTCTTTTATAGGAATCATAGGAGAAAAGCGACGTTCGTTGAATCGCACATCAAGCGATACGAGATTGGCTCAATTTTATATAATGTAACGTAAAAGATCTAACTATATGGATCTCAAAAGCTTAATCGAAAGCAACGCAGCGGGATGCTACTACACTTTATTTATCGTGATCGAGATACGATCGAAGATATAAAATGTCTTGCATGATTGCACTAAATAATTTTTCATTGTCATTTCAAAAGTCTCACATATTTTGTAAATAAAACTTGAATAAAGACAATAAATAGATACTGCTGTATAGAATTGAAGCGTTTCTAAATCTTTAAAGCTTAACAAAGTGCGATCTATTGACTGTGATCTATTGATCGAACGGCAAGTTAATGTCTGAAAATTTGTACCAATAAATTACCAAGATAAATTTGTACCAATAAATTATAAGCGCAGACATGTCATGTTAAACTAAATGAAGACATTTCTGTAACTTCAGAAAATGCAAGAATAAGAAAAATCGTGTGGTACGTGAAAAGATACTCAATGTAGAAAATTTTCGAAAATTTTGTTAAAATAAATAATCAAGTGTGCGTTCATCGAGCAACTTTTCATTAAAATTTAATGTGATGCAAGTAGAACAAATTATATATGCGTTACTTATAATCCAATCATAGCTTTCTGTTATTAAAATGTAAATTATTTGAGCTAACAAAGGCATTCTTTGCGTTTAAACATGCAATAACTAAAACAGAATTAAAGATCGCATGCTTTAAAATGATAATATTGTATTATATAAAAAATCGAATTCGTTTTAACGGCTAATGTTATAAAGAAGAATTAGAAGTACAGTTCATAACAAAAATCAACAGCTTTATATCCGAAGCATGTTGGAGAGTTCATTAACAAAATGTGCCAGAATACAGATGAATTATACTCGAGAGAAATCATTTCGCGTTGAAAATTATACAAACGATGGAACGTAAGCTAGATAAATCAGAGAATTTCTCATACTAATTTTGCGGAACGGTTTCCGGATAATGTTTTGACGACGAAGAAGTTAACGATTCATTGGGAACAATTAGACAATGCTGAATGTCAGTTGGGAGCGCGATTTGCTTCGAAAATAGCCCCATGTGTTTCCGTTCTGTTCGATGAACGACGTTCACGAAAGTACCGTGTCGTCGATTACAACATCAACGTAAAAGCAACAAGCGCAGAGATGAGCATCCTCGCGCGCGCGTGGAAACGATCCGCGAACGATGACGCAGAACAAGTTTAGGATTCCGACGAGAATGCAAGGTGGTGTGCCGTGTGCGATTTGTGGCTTTTGTAAGGTGCTGGAATATCTAGTTTTGTTTTGTCAGAGCATAATTGTCGATTGATCTGCAGCTCACGTGACTTTTAGATGAAATCGGAATTGTTTTGCATCGACAAGATTGATTTAAGTAGATCAATTTCGATCGAAAAATAATTATTGAAAATATTATTATTGTTATTGGAAATATAGCCGGAAATATAGTCTGCCTAAACGATTTTTCGTGCAAGCTCTGCATATTGTGTACATATATATTGAAATATTATAAAATTAAAAAGTATCATAATTTAATTTAATAAATTTTACTTTAATTAAAAAGTACCAAGTGATTATATA